AGGTTCATAATCTCTAAAATTTACCCTGAAATGGTACAAAAAAATTAAAATAAGAAATAGCTAGGTGCAGTGGCACACACCTGTAGTCCTAGCTACTCTGAAGGCTGAGGTAGGAGGATTGATTGAGTCCAGGAGTTGGAGGCTACAGTGCACTCTTATCTGACCGTGAATACCTACTGCACTCCAGATCGGGCAACACAGTGAGACTGTGTCTCAAAAAAAAAAAAAAGAAGAAGAAATAATGAGGATCTTATGTCTGCAATAGCAGAGAGGAAGAGAGAGACAGACAAAGCAAATGTGGCAAAATGTTAACAGTAAATAAATCAATCTAGTTAAAGTATATAAACAGTGTCTTGCAATTCTTCTATATTCTTAATTTTTTTTTTCAAATAAAATGTTTAGTTTTGGCCTGGGTGCGGTGGCTCATGCCTAGCACTTTGGGGTGCTGAGGTAGGCAGACAGCTTGAGCACAGAAGGCAAGATCAGCCTGGGCAACACAGGAAAACCCTGTCTCTACAAAAAATACCAAAATTATCTGGGTGTGGTGGTGTGTGTCTGTGGTCCCAGCTACTGAGGGGCTGAGGTGGAAGAATCACTTGAGCCCAGGAGATGGAAGCTGTAGTGAGTTGAAATCACCCCACTGCACTCCAACCTGGGTAACAGAGTGAGACTCTTGTCTCAAAAAAAAAGGAGAGATGAACCCAGACACTGATCTAAAAGGTTGTTAAAATCTCACTGCAAATGTAACTTGAAAAAAAATGAATAAGCTGGGCGTAGTGGCTCACGCCTGTAATCCAAGCACTTTGGAGGCCAAGGCGGGCGGATCGCCTGAGGTCAGGAGTTCAAGACCAGCCTGACCAACACGGTGAAACCTCGTCTTTATAAAAAAAGAAAAAAAAAGAATAATCCATATTCAAACACTGACACGATTTACGTAAGAAAACATACCTTAAGCTTTCATTTGCATAACATTCAAAATAAAGTGTAGGGGATGAGGAAACGGCAGCTTAGGAGGAAAACAGCTGCTGTTATAAAGGGGCAATGTCAAGAATCATTGGAAATGTTCCGTATCTTGACCATAGTGGTGGTCACGCAAAGCCACACGTGAACTAAATACGCACGTGCATACGTGCACGCGTGCACACACATACACCCCACAAAGGAGTACATGTATTACTGCCTAAATCTGAGTAAGGTGCAATGATTGCATCAATGTCAATTTCCTCATTTTTATATTGTATTATGCCACATGTGGGAAGACTAGGTGAAAAGCATCTTTATTATTTAGTCCAGCTACATGTAAATCTACAATTGTCACAAAATAAAAAGGTTTAACAATAGATACATTTTATGATATTTGAATTAAACCTCAATGAAACTGTTAAAGCTGACTGAGATGGTGCATGCCTATAGTCCCAGCTACTCGGGAGGCTGAGGTGGGAGAATCCTTTCAGCTCAGGAGTTTGAGATCAGCCTAGGCAGAGTAACCAGACCTCTGTGTTAAAATAAATAAAACTGTTAAAAAAAAAAAAAAAGTAATGAATCCAGCCAGAAGGGAACATATCATGATTTTTCCAAGTTAGTTCTTCTCAGTGGAAGCAGGACACTGAGAAAATGGGTGTTTTTGGTTGTCACTATCATGGGGCACTTTTGGCATTTAATGCATGCATTCCACAGTACAGAATTACACAACAAAGAATGAAACAAGACCCATACTGTCAGATATTCAAGTACGTTAAACATGCACAGAAACATAAAAACAATAACAACTCTGTTTAAAATTATCTGAGCCTAGAGTTTAACCCCATTTACAAGTAAAAACAAAAGTAATTTGTGTATGGTTTTAATATATACGGATTATTACTTTTTTTTTTTTGAGATGGAGTCTCACTCTGCCACCCAGGCTAGAGTACAGTGGTGCAATCTCAGCCCACTGCAACCTCTGCCTCCCAGATTCAAGCGATTCTCCTGCCTCAGCCTCCTGAGTAGCTGGAACTACAGGCACACCCCACCACACCTGGCTATTTTTTTTTTTTTTTTAAGATGGGGTTTCACCATGACGGCCAGGCTGGTCTTGAACACCTGATCTCAGGTGATCCACTCACCTCGGCCTCCCAAAGTGCTAGGATTACAGGCATGAGCCACTGTGCATAGCCTAATTTTTTTTTTTTCTTTTTAGTAGAGATGTGGTTTCACCATGTTGCCCAGGATGGTCTCAGTCTTCTGACCTCCTGATACACCTGCCTCAGCCTCCTAAAGTGCTGGGATTACAGGTGTGAGCCACCACACCCAGCCTATATAGAGAATTTTCTAGGAATAAAACTACTGTGTAAAAAAAGCAAAGGTTTTATTTCATTTTGTTTTGAACTTTACCAAGAGTTATTTACCACTTCAGGAAATCTCAATAGTAACAACACTTCCAATATTTGAGTCACTAATATATTTTTATTAGTCTTTAGAGGAGGCCATTCATGATATATATGTACATTTTATACATATGTGCATTTGCCATATATGCATTCTTAATACATATTTATGCATGATATGTATGTATATATTGAATCCTTATTTTGCAATGTCAGACATAAATAAAAAGCGTTGGGCGGGTGTGGCGGCTTATGCCTGTAATCCCAGCAGTTTGGGAGGCTGAGGTGGGTGGATCACCTGATGTCAGGACCAGCCTGGGCAACATGGTGAAACCCCATCTCTACTAAAAATACAAAATTAGTCAGGTGTGGTGGCACATGCCTGTAATCCCAGCTACACGGGAGGCTGAGGCAGAAGAATTGCTTGAACCTGGGAGGCAGGGGTTGCAGTGAGTTGAGATTGTACCACTGTACTCCATCCAGCCTGGGCAACAAAAGCAAAACTCTGCCTAAAAAAAAAAAAGTGTTGACCATATTCAGCTGAATATTATCTTTTTTTGAGACAGGGTCTCATTCTGTCACCCAGGTTGGAGGGCAGTGGCACAATCATAGCTCACTGTAATCTTGAATTTCTGAGCTCAAGTGATCCTCCTGCCTCTGTCTCACAGTAGCTGGTACTACAAGCATGCACCACTACGCCTGGCTAACTCTTCTAAATTTTTGTAGGGACAGGGTCTCACTATGTTGCTCAGGTTGGTGTTAAACTCCTAGCATCAAGCAATCCTGCTGCTTTGGCCTCCCAAAGCGCTGGGATTACAAACCTGAGCTATACCAACTGTGCCTGGCCCAGTCGAATATTATATGTCCTGTAAAATCAAACTCATTCATTATATATAGATATAAGCATCTGATGACTCAATTTTGTCATCTAATATAGACATGCCTGTGCACCTACATATTGTAATACATATTATTTTCTAATAAATTACTGTCCTATTTTTCTCCTTTATATTACAGTTAGGTCCTTAAGTAGATTATTTTATTGTTGTGCATGTAGATTACCTGTGAATTTCATGCTGAGATTGCAAAGGAGATGTTACAAAATATAGCAAGGTGAATAAAGGAAATACACTGGAATTTGGGTTGACAGGGCTTGGGTCAATGATTAAAAGGAGAGGGAAAGGAGTTGGGTACAATGTGTTGATTTCTGGCTTAGGCGACCAGGTAGATGCCACCATTCGCTGATACAGGCAATACAAAAGGAACAGTGGGTTTAAGGAGGAAAACGATGAGTTAGGTTTTGGTGATTTTTAGTTTGAAGTGGCTGTGGGATGTGGAGGCATCCAATGGACTAGGATATACACACCTCTGGGTTCAGGAGACAGTCTCAGGTTACAGGCAGACTGGGAAGCAACAACATATTAACTAATAACAAGTTAAAGGAAAGGTGAGATGGGTCAGGGAAAATTGAGAGAGGGAGGAGGTACAAGGCCAGAACTCTGGGGCACATTTAATGTTCAATACATTACTTTTTGAGACCGCGTCCCGCTGTGTTGCCGAGGTTGAAGTGCAGTGGTGCCGTCATGGCTCGCCACAGCCTAAGCATCCTGGGCTCAAGTGATCCTCCCATCTTAGCCTCCTGAGTCGCTGAGACTACAGGTGCATGCCACCATGCCCAGCTAATTTTTAAATTTTTTTTGTAGAGATGGGGGACTCACTATGTTGCCCTGTTGGGTCTCGAACTTTTCAGCTCAAGCTATCCTCCCACTTTGGCCTCCTAAAGTGCTGGAATTACAGACATGAGCTACTGTGCCCGTCCAGTGCCCAGTACATTTACAAGCTGGGCAGAGGAAGAGGCCTGCAGAGGAGCCTGAGATCAAGCACCCTTATGAGAAAAAAAAAAGTAGAGTCTGAGGTCACAGAAGCTGATAGAAGAGTATTTTTCAACAAGGGGAAAGAACCAGTCAAGACTGAGGTACGTGAGATCAGCAAGTGGAGTCATGGCTTATCTTGGCTAAAGGCATTTCTGGGAGTGGAAACCAGACTGGAAGAAGATAAGAAGTGGAACGGAGAGGGCGAGTATGAGCAACTTCTTCTGTTAAGTTGCTGCCCACAGGAGATAATGCTGGGCAGATGGAGCACACAGGGGCCGGAGGAGCTGAGGCGGAGGGATGGAGAGGCTTAAGTATGTTAACTGCGGCAGAGATGGAAGCTACAGGAGTAAATGAAAAAAATTAATTCATTCAACACTTTGTTGAGTGCCTCCCACGCACCGGATCAGTGTGGCCGCCCCAACTGAGAACAGGCGTGTGGGCCGCTCACGTCTGACAATTTAACGTAAGGCTTTACCGTTACGGGAAAGGGGTTCTCCTTCAGCTTTTCCTCCTAGGAGTTCCCATTCCGACCCTGATTCCAAAAGACACCTTGCGGGACCGCGCACACAGCTGGAACTCACGACCCCAATACAAACCTTCAGGCCACAACTAAGTAACGGATCGCTGCAAAGGCCAAACTAGAGATTCCAATGCCACCGCTGGAGCCTCCCCAGCGCTCCGCCCCCGCTCGCGAGAAAAGCGGCGAGGGCGCGAGAAATCGCCCTCTGGTTAGCTCCGCCCCTTCTCTTTCTTTGTTTTCCTGCCGAAGATCTCGCGGGAGTTAGCCGACAAATCCCGCAAGCGCAGGCCCGGGCTGGCTCTGCGGCTCTCGCGATATTTGAGCGAGACTGCTTCCTTCCTTCTTCCCTTGCCAGTCCGCCTGTCTTCCTCCCCCTCTTCCCTGCCCGGCCTCCCCTCTCCTTCCCCCGCCGGCCCCCTCCCCGCAGGGATAATATGGTCTCCGGCGATGGACGCCCCAAAAGCAGGTCAGTTTCGGGCCTCCGAGCTGGGTCTGGCAGCTGGAAACGCGCGGTGCCTAAGCGCCGTGTTCCTTGCTTTTCTTGCCTGGAGTTGCTCGGCAGGCGCCCAGGCCCTCGGGGCTCAGGTTATGCTCCCCTTGGGGCCTGCCTGCTGGGCCGCCCTTTGAGCCCAGGCCGCAGAAGGTGGGACTCCCCGCCCTCACCCTCCCGCGCGACCCCCGCAGGCCGGGCCGCCGCACCGCTGGTCTTGACCCGCACCCTTCTCTCTCCGGTGGCCGCTGCCTGCTGCCAGCGCCTTCCTGGCCCCCGTCAGCAACACCAGGGGCAGGGAGAGGCCCACCATCTTCCTCTGCCCGCCCCCCATTGGTGAGCGATGAGGGCGGGGGCCTGCGTCTCCGTGCTCGGGTCTCACGCAGCTGGATGTTGGTTCCACAGCCCAGCCTCAGGCCCCTCGGTCTCTCTGTGTCTCTGGAAGCCGAATGAGGGGCAGTTAAGGTTGAAGATTGGTCAGTCAGTTCCCCGACCATTTGTTGCAGTGCTGTAGACACCTCCCGCCGTCCACCTCCTTCTAGAAAAAAAGAAAAAAATACTGTTCATTCTAACAATGCGTTGTACTTATGTTTTCTGTTTTTGGATGAAAGCCTTAACAATGTTGAGGGTCCTACCCACCCACCGCTATGAGTCTGCACAAAAGATCTGAAGGTTCTTTTCAACGTCAAGGCTGCCTCCCCGCCACTGCCCCCTAGAATGTTGGGAGCTGAGGCACATTCAAATGAGACCCCTGCATCTTTGACTTTGTAGTTCAGCTTCAATTCGTGCAAAACCAGAAGGACTTCTATCTTTCGGGGAGAATATGCTAATTTCCTAGATATTTTGTTACTTTAATTTTCTGTACTAAATCCTTGTAAGGACTTAACTGAGAAGTTTTTTGTTTTTGTTTATTGAATGCTTCGTAAAAAATCCATCTTTTGGTTTTTTTAATTAGTCCCTCTAATGCTAATTTTGGAGTTCCCAAATTCCTGTCTCTGCAGTTTTCAAGACATATCTTTTCCAAAACGTCCCCGTAGATTATTTAAATCATTTTTAGTGTCTCCTTCCAGGTATTGTGTGTTAAAACATTTCTGGAGTGAATTATCTTACTAGTTTTTATTCGACACATTATGGTTTAGAGATATGCTGTCCAGTGTGGTGGATACTAGCCCTGTGTTACTGTAATAAAAATTAAATAAATGGAAAACTCAGTTCCTCAGGCACCATAGCCACCTTTCCAGGTGCTCAATAGCCACACGTCGCTAATGGCTACTTTACTGGACAGGTCAAACATAGAACATTTGTACCATTGCAGAAAATTCTATTAGACAAAGCTAGTTTCCAAGTATTTTCATTCCAGGTATTGTTGCTGTGTTTAATTAAAATGTTTTTTTTTTCAGGATATGCCTTTGAGTACCTTATTGAAACATTAAATGACAGTTCACATAAGAAGTTCTTCAATGTATCTAAACTTGGAGGCACCAAGTATGGTAATGTTGCTTTACATTTTCTTGAATTTGTTTAGTCTCTAATAATTAAAATGCATTTGTCAAACTGAGCTGAAGAAATTTTAAATTTATTTCTACCGTGTTGTAACCGGTACACCTCCACATACTTACACCATTTTAAGAACTCCTCTTGGGAAAACTTTTGTTCAGGGAAGATGTACCTTAACTTCTTATTTTAAAATCGAGTTAATTAAGCACTAATTTTTTTTCCTCAAAGAAACCAGTAATGCAGTTTTTAAATTTTTTTTTTCTTATTTTTGTGGAGACTGGGGTCTTGCTATGTTACCCAGGCTAGTTTCCAACCCCTGGGCTCATATTATCCTCCTGCCTCTGCCTCCCTTAGTGTTGGGATTATACATGTAAGCTACCGTACCTGGCCTAATGTGATTTTTAGAAGAACCTGACTGACTGATGATATGCTACACCAATTAAATGTATATTTTGCTTTCTCTTTTCTTTCTTTCTTTCTTTTCTTTTCTTTCTTTTTTTTTTTTAAAGACAAAGTCTTGCTCTGTTGCCCACGCTGGAGTGCAGTGTCATGATCATAGCTCATGCAGCCTTGAACTCCTGGGCTAAAGCAATCCTTGTCTCAGCCTCCCAAGTAACTAGGCCTACAGGTGCATGCCAACACACTTGGCTAATTTTTATATTTTTTGTAAAGATGGGTTCTTGCTGTGTTGCCCAGGTCTCAAAACTCCTGACCTCAAGCGATCCTTCTGCTTCAACCTCTCAAAGTGTTGGGATTATAGGCATGAGCCACTGTGCCTGGCTTATTTTACTTTCTCAAATGAACAGTGCCCACATCTGTTCTTTTTGCCATCTGTTGAATAGGAATCACCAACAGGACCCACTGACTGAGTTGTTCTGCAGTGTTGGGCATTGTTTGCTCCAACCTGCACACCTACAGTTTTGGCAGACACTCTCATTCATCTGATCAGGGTCAAACCTTTCCCTGTGGTCTCAGAAGAGAATGTGGCTGACCTACAGGGCATTGGATGGAAGTTTTGACTTTACTGACAGTTGAGTAACTTTCTCAATTAGGCCAATAGTTTAGAAGACTGATTATTGTTAGTGAACTTTTCTGTGACAATGACATGAAAAGATAAATTGAATGCCATATCTATTATAGTCAGTTTTGGAAGGAGCTTTAACCTTGTTTATTCTTGCATTATTTACTTAAGATTGTTCTTGTGATTTTTCTGTAGATTTTGAGGAATTTAAATACTCTTGACTGCTGTGTGTGATATTTTTTGTGTATTGTGAAATACAGATTTTTTGGAGTATCTTAGAGAATCCCCATTTTGGAATTAGGTTGTCATTAAGAAATAATTTGCCAAAATGAGAGCAATATCCTTTACCTTCCATGTTTAGCTGCAGTGATTTGTAGTGATATGTTTGTTAAAAGAGGTTGGTCATTTTCTTAATGATGTGTGTCTTTCACATTAATTTTATCCCTTCACTGATGATGAGTTTGCATTAATTTTGAAAACAGCTAGATTGATTGTTTACAAGAATAGTCTTTTTATTTCCCTTTTACTTCTCCAAAATAATCTAGTGATCCTGGCTTGTAAGTTTTTCAACTCAAATTCCATAACTTAATAAATTAAAGGAGCACATACTGTGTTTTGAAGATTGAGTGTAAATACTTTGTGTATAATCTGTAGAAATGTGCTTACTTGAAGATGATATATATTTTTCAAATTTAGGGAATCAAAAACAACCGTAAAATGCTTTGAAAGGGAATGATTGATATAATATGGAAGTTAAATTTTCGCTGAGAAATAAGCTGTCATGGGCATTTGTGCATAACCTTACAGAGTACGTCTGTACTTAACATTATTCCAGAATTACCAGTTTTTATAACCATGATAAATGTAATAGAATACCTGTGAATATAAATAATTTCAAAACAGAAAGTTGGTTTTTATTTATGTGTGGTCAGTACCCTGGTTTTATTTTATTGTATTCTAGTTTTACTTTTGAGACAGGATCTAGCTCTATCACCCAGGCTGGAGTACAGTGGTGTGATCTCGGCTTACTACAACCTCCGCCTCCTCTGTTCAAGCGATTCTCCTGCCTCAGCCTCCCGAGTAGCTGGGACTACAGGTGTGCATCACCCGCCCAGCTAATTGTAGAGAAGAGGTTCTACCACGTTGGCCAGGCTGGTCTCAAACTCCTGACCTCAAGTGATCCCACCCACCTCAGCCTCCCAAAGTGCTGGGATTATAGGAGTGAGCCACTGCGCCTGGACCCTCTTGGTTTTTTAATAGAGTGATTATTATGAGAGGTAATTAAGTAATCATTCCTTAAGTAATTTCCTAGTAATTAAGAAGGAATAAAATTTGAAGAATTGACTTTGAAAGAAAGAAACAACTTAGGTAGAAAGTATTTTGCTTGTTTAGCCTTAGAACAAAAAATACGCATTTTTGAAGGGATCAGATTGAATTGCTTCCTAGAGATATGCTTACAAGAAGACATTGCTTTGGTAGTCAACAAGGTTCAGAGCCAGTCTTCTCTGCCTTCATTTCGAATTTTGTTACCTGCCACATTGAGAGTGACTGCTCTAACAAGTAACAATTAGTGAAGAAAATGGCCTCTATCCCTCATAAATTTTGCAGAGTAAAGATAATTAAGAAGCATTGTTCTAAGCTCCATGCTAACTGTATCAGGGATCCCTCAGCTGCAAGGAGCTGAAAACCTGCTGTCCAATGACTTTAAGAAATAGGAGTTTCTTTTTCTTTCTTTTTTTTGAGATGGAGTTTCGCTCTTGTTACCCAGACTGGAGTGCAATGGTGCGATCTCGGCTCAACTCAACCTCTGCCTCCTGAGTTCAGGCAATTCTTCTGCCTCAGCCTCCTGAGTAGCTGGGATTACAGGCACGCGCCACCATGCCCAGCTAATTTTTTGTATTTTTAGTAGAGACGGGTTTCACCATGTTGACCAGGATGGTCTCGTTCTCTTGACCTCGTGATCCACCCGCCTCAGCCTCCCAAAGTGCTGGGATTACAGGCTTGAGCCACCGTGCCTGGCAGGAGTTTATTTTTCTTACATAACAAGATCAACAGACTGGGGCTGTGCAGCACCAGTTTCAGCAAGGATTAAGGCTTGTCCTGTCTTACCATTTTGTTTTTATTCTTTTGGTTGCATCTCCAGGCATTATGTCCATGTTCCAAGCAGCTGGAGGGGCAAAACAAAAGGAAAGGCCCTCTCCAGGGGCTTTTGCCTCTTTGGCCAGAGTATCAGTGGCCACTCTTACCTTCAGGAAGGCTGAAAGGTAGAGTAATCATGATCTTCTCTTATCCACGGGAGATACATTCCAAGACCCCCAGTAGACACCTGAAACTATGGATAGTACCAAACTGTGTATATACTCGTTGGTGTATATGTATTTTCCTATACATACATACCTATGATCAAACTTAATTTATAAATTAGGCACAGTAGAGATTAACAGTAGCTAATAATAAAATAGAACAGTTATAATAGCATACTGTAATAAAGGTTATGTGAATGTGGTCTTTTTCTCTCTCTAAATACCTTACGGTGCTGTACTGCAGGTAACTGAAACCACAGAAAGCCAAACCATAGATGAGATGAGAGTACTGTGTTTTATCTCTACAGCTGTAACAACAGAGAAAGGAAAGGGAGAAGTGGTTGGAAGTGGGTGGTGAGTGAACCGGCCTAGACTGTCTGCCTTACCAACCTGATGTCCTCTCTCTTTTTTTATTTTTATTTTTATTTTTTTCGAGACGGAGTTTCGCTCTTGTTACCCAGGCTGGAGTGCAATGGCGTGATCTCGGCTCACCGCAACCTCTGTCCTCTGGGTTCAGGCAATTCTCCTGCCTCAGCCGCCTGAGTAGCTGGGATAACACAGATTATTTGATTTCTGCTTTTTTACTGCCATTTTATCCTTTTGCTTCCCAAATTTAGACTGAAGGTATCTCTGTGGGGGTGGGCACATCTTAGACATTGATTACGTTTTGATCTTGCATGATTCTGCTTGAGGGAATCTCTTGTCTTTTTGTTTGTTTTTGAGACAGAATCTCACTGTGTCACCTAAGCTGGAGTACAGTGGCATGATCTTGGCTCACTGCCACCTCTGTCTCCAGGGTTCAAACAATTCTCATGCCTCAGCCTCCCAAGTAGCTGGGACTTACAGGTGTGCACCACCATGTCCAGCTAATTTTTTATCTTTAGTAGAGGTGGAGTTTCACTATATTGACCAGGCTGGTCTCAAACTCCTAACCTCAAGTAGTCCTCCTGTCTTGGCCCCCCAAAGTGCTGGGATTACAGGTATGAACTACTGTACCCAGCCAGTTGTGGGGAATGTCTTTAATATTCTGGAGCTGCCTGTCTGGTGCTCTAGTTTGTTGAGTAGAAACATCATGTAGTCAAAATCTAGGTAGTCTCAAATGTAGATATTGAGTAACTCCTTAAAAAAAATTATAAAGATGGGGGCCTCACTGTCACCCTGGTTGGAATGCTGTGACATGATGATAGCTCACTGCAGCCTCAAACTCCTGAGGTCAGGAGATCCTCCTGCCTTACCCTCCCAAGTAGCTGATTTGGGTGACTCTTAAGTAGATCTCTGAATTCAAAACTATGGCTGTTTTTACAGAGAGGAGAAATCAGTGTTGTCAAGAGTAGTGAGAGGCTGCTTTTTGAAGGAGTTGAGACTTGAATTGCTATTAAACAGAGGATATGTGTGATGGAGGACAGTCAACACCAGAGAATCAGAATGAACAGCATAATGGAAACATGAATGACTATGTTGAATGAAGGGGAAGATAGTGGAGAGACTGGTCTGGCTGGAGTGAAAGGTTTATTTTAGAGAGTACCTATTATTGGCAACAGGGCCTCTGGTGGTGTAAAGCCCCCAGACTCCCTTCTTTATCTCAAGTTATCTCATTCACCCTTTCTTTTTTTCTTCCTGTCTGCTGGCTTTTTTAACCACAGTACTGCTTAGTCCTACAATAGAGCTG